AAATATCTAAAACCGCAGCACGCCTTCCTGCACAACACATCTCACCCTTCCTCGCACAGCACTCTCCCCACTATACGCACAAGCGCCAACTAGCGATCATCGGCACATTATCACATGACCAGGACGCCACATAGACTGAGAAAAAATGACAATCACACCCTATGAGCAAGAATAGTCATGAACATCGCAAGAGACACAGTCCCAACTGTACATGTCAGCTACAATAACACCTTTCTCCATTTTCTTGATTTTCTACATGTCATTTTTCCACTCATGTGGTGCACGCCCAAGCCAATGCAAGCAGCTCGTCATGCCACATCATTCCCTACCTTCAAAACCTAACCATTTTCTGGGAGCAGCCTGGTCGGCGCCAGGCCTGCTGGTGTCTCGCGGCCTTCTTCCGTCACCACCTCCTGGCTCTTGTGGTCGTAGTTGATGGCCAGCTCCTCCAGAGCCTGCAGCACCTCCTTCACCTCCGCCTTGGCGCAGTCGCTCTCCACCTGCAACCTGCCGAGTTCAGCCTGGACCTTGTCCCCGTCGCCTTTAGAGGATGCCAGGAGCTGGAAGGAGGGAGGGAAAGAGGGGACAGGGGACCCTTCAGTTAACGTACAAGTCAAACATAGTCTGTCTGTGTATACAGTGTGAGTTGGTGTATACTGACCTCATCCTGGTCCATCATCTGCTGCTTCAGTTTCTCCACAAACTGGCACTGCAGGTTGATGTCATCATCCTGCAAAAATATGATAGTGTTTTTCAAAAGCGAAACTTTTTCTTGGCAATGAACAACTGTTTTGATGTCTGTTAATGTCTTCAATGACATCCATTTAAAACTATTTGAATCCTGGCATTATCAGATCTAGATGCTTGATTCGATAAGGGGCTATAGAGGTAGAATTCAAGTAAAGCAAACCTAATTATGTTTTTGCTTGCAGAAAGTGTGTGTGTAGTTAGTGTGTTCATGTTTTTATGTTCGGACCTTGTCATCCAGCTGCTTGTAGAGCTTGCGAATCTCCTCCTCATATTTCTGCCGCTCCTCCTCAGAAATACGGACCACAATGGAGGAGGTGTCGTTGTCTAAAACGGGACGCTCCTCGATGGTCTCGAAACGGGTCACCACGTCTGCCGTGGTCTGCTCCGTCTCAGGTACTTCCTCTCCTGAGGGGCAGGGGGAAGGGACCAATAGGTCAGAGAGACACACACATCAGGAGGAGGCTGTTCTTATAATGTCAGCTGACGTTTGTCTAAAGTCAAAATACAGCTGATGTGTCTCACCGTTTCTCCAGCGGTTGAGCTCAGTCTCCAGCCTCAGGACGGTTTCCTTCAGAGTCTTGTTCTTCTCCTTCTCCTTCTCGAACTTCTTCTTCCACTGCTCCGCCGTCAGCTCCAGGTTGATGGAGGCGGTGTTCCTGATGGTCTTGGCACTGTGACAGAGGAAAACAAAGACAGTTTGTTAAAAAAATTAAAATAATAATATGTTAAATAACTGAATCTTTTGCTCGAAATTCATCCGTATCTGCCTTGTTTGGATTTATGAGTTTGTTCCTTGCTAACATTGTGGCTTCATGTGAGAAAGCAGTAATCATATTGTGTTGGGTTTCTTGTTCCATGCAGAAGTAGTTTAAAAAGAGTTTTTTCTTTCCAAAGATGCATTGACTGCATCACACAAATGTATCTACCGTTGTCCAAACATCAGAGTGGACTTGGTCTCGGCGTCGTTGTAGCTGGAGGGGGAGCAGCAGATGAACATGGTGGTTCGACAGTTCCCACCCAGGGAGTCCTGCAGGATGCGGGTCATCTTGCTGTCACGGTACGGCACGTGAGTTTTCTGCAGGGGAGAGAAGG